CAGGGAATAGGAACAGCCCCTACGTGGGCTCTGCGAAAGGAGAACCGGGTTTCTGTAGGAAGGTCTCGGGGCGCCAGGGAGCAGGAGAGGGGGAGGCAGGAAGCTGCCTGTAGGGGGGTTTGACAGCTGTTCGGGGGCAAGAGCGCTTTGGAGTCGTTTCTTTATCCCTCTTGTCTGATTGCCTGTCCCTTAGCCAGGGTCAGGGAATAGGAACAGCCCCTACGTGGGCTCTGCGAAAGGAGAACCGGGTTTCTGTAGGAAGGTCTCGGGGCGCCAGGGAGCAGGAGAGGGGGAGGCAGGAAGCTGCCTGTAGGGGGGTTTGACAGCTGTTCGGGGGCAAGAGCGCTTTGGAGTCGTTTCTTTATCCCTCTTGTCTGATTGCCTGTCCCTTAGCCAGGGTGGGACCAGCTCTGAAAGGGGGTTAACCAAAAAACTGGAAAACCTGGCCGAGCGGCTGGGTTGCCTTCAATAAAACAGAGAATCCTAATTTTGCAATGCAGAACTACTTGGACTACTGCTAGGGGTGGAGGAGCTGTCAGCCCGATGCTGGTTTTGTTGCCAATGTGCGCTCAGTCAGTTTCACCAACACAGCTGCTCCTTCCTCTCAGCCAGAGTCTGTGCAGATGTATGACACCTTGTTGGAGGGACACAGGGAGGAGCTGAAGCAGGGAGGAATCTTATTTGAAAACTGACAGCGACACACCTTGATAGTTGGGTAAAGCATCTGGGGTAAAACATAAAGATCCACACTGATATGTTCGTGGTTATCTATGCTTGCCAAGGCATGATCCTGCTACATGCAAAATATCTTATTTCTCATTGATTGTACTGGGAGTTTAGCGTGCTTGTGGGACCTATTCCATTAGAATAATTTCAGATGGCTTGTGTGTGAATTGAAACAGCGTGGGATAGTTCAGTATTAAGTATGTGATTTTTATAGAATTTTATTCAAACATTATGTTTGTTTTGTTGCAGAGTCATTTGGACAGAACTATCCTGAGGTAAATCTCTTTTCTCAAAGGTCACTTTTTCTTTAACGTTTGTTGGATTACTGGCTTGACTTTATTTGTATTCACTTTAAATCTTTCCTGCATCATTTAATTGTTGTTCTTAAACACACACACACACACACACACACACACACACACACACACACACACACACACACACACACACACACACAGCATCTGTTATAGGGCTCTGTTTAACTGAGGCTTTAAGAAAGTTAAGTTGTCATCCCTTGCAACTATATCCATCTCAAAATTAATTGTGCTAATGAAGCCATTGTATGTGCAGGACTTGCTTGTAAGCAGTCAAGTGCAGTAGGGAAGAGATGCCTGTATGGATATAGATCTCTGCATTGAGTTGTTTGGTATCTTCGAGAACCCAAAACACTGTTCATTTATGAATGTGTTATTTATAGGGGAAAATATTATCTTCAAATTTGGCATCAGGTTATCTGACTTTGAAATCTGTCAGGTTAAGATTTGTGGCTCCTTGGAACACATGAAAAGTACACTGTTAGCATAAAACTTGTATTAAAAATAAAAAGTAGTCTTGGTCTGTCTTACATCTGGGCTGACTGTTTGCCATTTGGCTTGGAGAAGGGGAATTTTAAATATGCTCCTTTCCCACTTCAAAATAAATTCTGAACATATTTTTGTACTTAGTGAGCTTTAGAAAATGCACTTTTAAAAGCAGTTTCACTCCTAGTGGTTTGGCTTAAACCTGGTTGAGTGCTCCTTCAAGTCTGACTATGCCGATCCAAATATCTGGATCTTAGTTTTCAACTGAAATCTCAGGTGGTAGCTCATAAGTTTTGCCCATAAGACTTAAAAGTAGATAAAGTGGGCACAAATCTTGAAAGCAGAAGTTGAATTCTAATGGTCTCCTCTGCCACTGTTTATTTCCAGGAAGCTGATGGGACGCTGGACTGTATCAGTATGGCTTTAACGTGCACCTTCAATAGGTGGGGCACATTGCTTGCAGTGGGCTGTAACGATGGCCGCATTGTCATCTGGGACTTCTTGACGAGAGGCATAGCCAAAATCATAAGTGCCCATATCCACCCTGTCTGTTCTTTATGGTAAGAAATTACCTTATAGAGATTGAATGTGGTCTTAAGTATTATGAAATTTCTGTTCTAAACCAGAGTTTATGGGAGGCTCCTAAGGGATTAGAATACTCCAGTGCCTCATTCCTAAGATTCTCTTTCAAGTTCAGAGATTGAAACCCCTTTTATGTTGGATGCCACACTATGTTTGCTGGGTTCCTTTGTCTGATTTTACCTCTTTTCTCAATAGCTGTGAATTGCAGGTCTTTCAAATTTGTTGTCAAGACTACAGCATCAAGAATGCACTCCTGTGATTTAAAAGAGCTGTCTTTCTGTCAAATAGTGTAATTGGCCCTTAAAACCAGAGAATTTTAGAGAATTCTTTTACTGGTAACTTTTGTATAAAGCAAATTCATTCCAGTTTCACTCTATTCCGGATTATAATCTGTGTCCTAGCACAGTATCTTGGTCTGTCTTTCTGCTTTGCTGTGAATGGAATTTGGTCAACTCTGAACTTGCTGTGAAGTGCTGGCCATTTTCAAGATCCATTGAAGTAACCTATAAAAATGAATAAATTGAGGTCTATCAGCACTTCATAGGAGCTCATCCTCTAAGTAAGAACATAAGAACGGCCATACTGAGTCAGACCAAAGATCAGTATCTTTTATTTTGACTGTGGCCAATGCCAGAGGGAGTGAACAGAACAAGTAATCATCAAGTTATCCCCGCTGTGTCACCCATTTCCAGCCTCTGACAAACAGAGGCTAGGGTCACCATTCCTATCTGTACTGGTGAATACGAATCAATGGACCTATTCTCCATGAATTTATCTAGTTCTTTTTTGAACCCTGTTAATGTCCTGGTCTTCAAAACATCCTCTGGCAAGGAGTTCCACAAGTTGACCATGTACTACTTGAAGAAATGCTTCCTTTTGTTTTAAATCCATTACCTATTAATTTCACTTAGTGACTCCTAGTTCTTATGTTATGGGAACAAGTAACTAACTTTTCCTTATTTACTTTCTTGATACTTGTCATGATTTTATAGACCTCTATCATATCCCCTCTTAGTCTCCTCTTTTCTAAGCTGAGTTTTGGTGAAACGATACGCATAGTCAGTCTGTGGAAACACAAAGATGAAAGCTACATTGAGCTGCCCAGAAGACATTTTTACAATAGCAATTCATAGTTCTAATAGATAATTTAAACTACTTTTTTGTGAGCATTAGTTTAGTGTATTGTCTTCCTTAAAGGGTAATTTGTTTCTCTTCTCTTGCAGCTGGAGTCGAGATGGTCACAAACTGGTGAGCGCTTCAACTGATAACATCGTATCACAGTGGGATGTTCTGTCTGGAGACTGTGACCAGAGGTTTCGATTCCCTTCACCCATCCTGAAAGTTCAGTACCACCCCAGAGACCAGTAAGTTCTATGGAAAAGAGCCCTCCTTAGGGGGCTTTTATGAGCTGAGTGAATGTTTTCCTTGTGCAGTTGTATAATAATGAAAACCCTGTATATCAGGTCTTGTAAAAGGATTTTGTAAAAACACCTGAATGTTGTGTCTAGTCCACCAGATGCTCTCCCTTCAAAGCCTTAGCAATATGAACAAGAATAAAAATGTTTTTGTTAAGACTCTAGCCTGCTTAAAGATAGTTTTGGGAAATGGAAAAGGAGAAACAAAAGGATGTGTCTTAACAATTTATTTACACATTTTTTGTTGAGTTGGCACAATTGATGTATATGCTTGGGAAAACATCCCTAAAGAGATGTATACGTCAACGTGGGGCTGGGGGAGGGGAGGAATAAGACTATGTTGTTCCACAGTTGTGGGCTAGAATAAGTCAGTTAATATCTGTTGCTCATGAATGCAGGAGAGAAGCCAAGGAAACAAAAGAACTTGTATCCTATTCAGCTACACTACAGCCCTGCTTTTCTCACAATCCTTCAACTTTTTCATACTAATAAATGTGAAAATTGGAGACACTTGGAAAAAGAGAGAAACTGCTAACTCTTTCTTTCTTTTCTCCTTTGCAGAAACAGGGTTTTGGTGTGTCCCATGAAATCTGCACCAGTGATGCTAACGCTTTCTGATTCAAAACACGTAGTTCTACCTGTGGATGATGATTCTGATCTAAATGTGGTGGCCTCTTTTGACAGGCGAGGGGAATATATCTATACAGGCAATGCCAAGGGGAAGGTAAGAGCACAAAGTGCTGATGTAATTACACTCACTGAACAGGTTGGACCTCTGGTCTGGCACCCTTGGATCATGACTGATCCCAGATGAGGGATTTTTCTGGACTAGGGGAGGTCATTTCTGGCCCCTTTGCCACCGCCCCCCCACCTCAGACCTGGCCCAGCTGCTGGCCAGAGCCTGTCATCAGCCCTACTACCCTGCCGGCCCCATCGGGCTCCTTAGCCCTGCCAGGCAGCCCTTCTGGGGCACTCCATGTTCTCTGGCCCCACTGGGTGGTCCTTTAGTGTAACTTTCTGGTCCTGGAACAGCAGGATCACAGATGTTGTCAGGCCACAGAGTCCTGGTTTAAATGTCCATTTAGAGAGGTCAAGTGCCTGGCCTTTTTAGGACGAAGTCCTTTGTTTTGGTCTGTGAGACATGTTCCCTCTGAGAGTTTCTTGAATCATTACTATTATATGATGACTATTACCTTTGGTAAAGCATATTAACCTTATCTTTGAAATCTGTAGAGATAAAAATGCTGTTTAAGCACTAAGTATTTGTATTGCTACTACATCCAGGAGTTCTGTGGCACCTTAAAGACTTATTTATTTGGGCATCAGCTTTTGTGGGTAAAGACCCACTTCATCAGGTGCCACAGGATTTCATATTGTTTTTGCAGATACAGACAGACTAACATGGCCCACCCCCTGATACTTGAATTGCTACTGTTTTTGAAAAGATTTCTTTGGGTCTGTCTTCTTCGAGTGCACTTAAATCACATGATAAAAAGTGCCATAGCTGTATAATTCTTATCCGAGATAGAGGTACTCACCAAGGTGCACCTGCTGATTTATACCTCTCACTGTGAGGTACACATTCTTCCTGTTTTCCTACGAGGCAGTGTAAGGCATAGGGTGGACAAATTCCTTGTTGCTCAAAACCACAAGATTTAGTTGCAGAACAGAAACTAAAAACTAAAAATCCCAACTTAGTCTCCGGCATCATACCTAGGTTACACAGCCTCACGTTGTGAGAGTTCATGAAAATACTGATTATTTTCTGTGTTTTTTTTATTTATTTTTTTTATAATCTTCAGATCTTGGTCTTAAAAACAGATACGCAGGATCTGGTTGCTTCCTTCAGAGTAACAACTGGAACCAGCAACACCACAGCTATTAAATCAATAGAATTTGCCCGGAAAGGAAGGTGAGTAGGAGAGAACTGGAGATGAATTGAAAAGTTTTAATATGGATGAATGGATTATAAATACACTAACTGAACATATGTTAATCCATATAGACACCGATGTTAAACATAAATATGTTGAAAGCCTTTCCTTACTTGTCACCTCTAGAGTTTTGTTGAACTCTACTGCAAGAATCAACCCTTGAAGTACAGCAGTGAATAACATTAGAAGGGTTCCATTCTGCTTTAGGTTTTGAACTCATTTTTGGATAAAATATTCTGAGTAAAAGAGCATGACTACCTGTTGCTGTGGCTCCAAAATTAGTTGCTGTGGGGGATGTGTCAGCTATAAAATTCAAGTTCAAGCTTAACAGCTATACACTCTCTGTTGCAGAAATGTCAAGAGCTGGAAATGTGACAGAAGAATGTGTTGATTTCACAGTTCTGGCTAGTTTTTAAAGGATAACTTTATTTTTTGAATAAAAAGTGGGAACGAGAAGGAAATGAGATGAATACATCTCTGGCATATGTTTTCTTCATAGGTACATGTTATAGCAAATGTTTTGTTTATATGGGGTTCAAACCTGTTAACTCAACTGTCATTAACATCCGGGGGGATTTGTGTGTGCTCAGCATCTTCTACGTGCAGACCATTATTGTTAAACATTTAAAACAGGGTATTTTACCCATTAGTATAGGATTTTTAAATTATTCTTGAAATCCTTGCTTTAATGTAAACAGCTCTCTTCTGTGTTCTCCCTCCCACAGCTGCTTTTTAATAAACACGGCTGACCGAATAATCAGGGTGTATGATGGCCGGGAAATACTAACCTGTGGGCGAGATGGAGAGCCTGAACCAATGCAGAAGCTGCAGGATTTAGTAAACAGGTAGGAAGAAGCAGTGAGAATGGTGGCTTGAGAGAGAAAGCTACATGTTTTGGTGAAACCTTCACTGCTCAGTATGTTCAGACAAAGAATAGATCTCATTCAGATCACCTTTGATGTAACCTAATAATTGTGTCTCATAAAGCTTGTGCTAAAATCCTACCTTCTCTACGTTGTACAGTAATGTAAATGCATTGTTTTGTCTAATGAATGGATCACTTGTTCACCGTTGTGTTAAGTTTCTCTAAAGCACCTGGCATTGGCCGTTGTTGAAAGATGTAATACTGGGATAGATGTATCTTTGATCTGACCCAATGTGACTGTTCTTACGTTTTTAATTCCCTTGCATTCAGGACACCGTGGAAGAAATGCTGTTTCTCTGGGGATGGGGAGTACATTGTGGCAGGATCAGCACGGCAACATGCCCTGTATATCTGGGAAAAGAGCATTGGAAACTTAGTGAAAATCCTCCATGGAACCAGAGGGGAGCTGTTGCTAGATGTAGCAGTGAGTGTCTCCCCCATAATTTTGTTGTCAGTTGTAATTCTAACAAACAAGCTTTCTTAATTCCCTTAAAAATAAACTTTTTCTTTCTCCTCTTTTATTCATCCAATTCTAGTGGCATCCTGTCCGACCTATCATCGCTTCTATTTCCAGTGGTGTTGTATCAATATGGGCTCAGAATCAAGTGGTAGGTATTTTATGGATACATTTCCATAGGGAACAGTAGCAACTTAATTCTCTCTGGGCAGGTTGTGTTTCAGTGTTCTGGCAGGCGATTCTCCACAGAATTTTCTTTCCAAAAAGTTACTGAATTTGCTCTTGATTTAAGGGCATACTGAAGGATTTTGGACCTTCAGAGAGGTAACCACGTTAGTTTGTAACTGGAAAAACTTAAAAAACAACAAATAGTCTAGCAGCACCTTAAAGACTAACGAAACATGTAGATGGCATCGTGAGCTTTTGTGGGTACAACCCACTTCTTTAGATGACTGGAGTATTAAAAGTCCAGATCCAGGAATAAATAAGAGAAGGCGGGGATGAGAGGGAAGAAGGGGGGAAAAGGAAAAAAAAGAGAAAAAAAGTAGTGAATTAGATTATTCAAGTTACAAGAGGCTGATAAGAACAATTTGCACCTCTGTAAGTCCCCATTGTTAGGTTGGTTGGTTAAGTCAGTGGTCCCCAACCTTTTGGGGCTGCTGGATGCCTGGTCACTAGGCGGGCGCACATAAATGCTCCGGCAGGCACCGCGTTGGGGACCACTGGTTAAGTCATTAGGATGTGGAAGGTAGTGTGGGAGCCAGCCATGTATTTATTCATTACTCTCTGATAGGAATCCAACTTGTAAATGAAGTTAAGTTCCAACCCTTCCAACCCTGTGTATTTGGATTTTGCTCACTTTAAGCACAGCAGCGTACATTAAGGGACTACTCATTTGCTTGAAGATAAGCCTGAGCATAAATAGGGATGTAAAAAAAAGAATAAAAATATTTATCATGTAGCCTATAAAAATTCTCTTGGTTAGACAGTTAGCTGCTCCTGGGGCTGCCCCTTGCAGAGTTTAACTGTTAATGGCAACCAATAAGCATTAGCTTATCTGCTAACCGGTTGAACTCTTACATCCCTAAGCATAAGCACCTTGCTGAGTCTGAGCCTTATAGAAGAGCCTGAATTCTCACGTTACAGGAACAAAGTCTTTCTCAATTTATTATTCTCATATAACTGACCTGAACGTAATCCCGAACAAAAATGATGAAACCTAGCATGCATCCTCCTAGTTATGGGAGTCCTTATTAATGTGCAATGACAGTATCTGATTTCAAGGGCTGAAAGAAATGAAAATGACCAGATGACCACAGAAACTCACTTTCCCAGTGTTTAGTCTGCCATGTGACTGTGAAGCTCAAAGAGGGGCCAGTCTTGTGACAGTGCACATGGTTTTGGTGCAGGGCTAGGGCATAATTACACAAATGTCTCACTGCAGCTGCTGCTTGTTTGCACCAGGTAAAGTTCTCTTTGAATTTGTGGTTTAGGAAAACTGGAGTGCCTTTGCGCCTGACTTTAAAGAGTTGGATGAAAATGTAGAGTATGAAGAGAGGGAATCAGAGTTTGACATTGAGGATGAAGATAAGAGTGAGCCAGAGCAGACAGGTAACACATACTGCAAGTATATGTGTAACAGAGACATGGCTATACGTGATATTGTTTGTTAAATAATTCCTATGTCTGGACACACGGTAAAATAGAAATTAAAGATATGTGACTAAAAGCAATGATGAAGGATAAAACAAGCTAGGATTATTTGTCATAGGCAAAGCAACACCCTCCACTTGTGCTTTTGCTTCGAAGGTTTTTGTTTGATATCTACCATTTCATGTAAAAAATAAGCTTAGCACCTATCATTAAGAGGCCATACAAAGTGAAATACCTATGCACAAACAAAATAAAAGCAGTAAGCAAACATGCAGTAAGCCTCTTGGAGGGAATCACTGTTGTTAGTGGGAGAGGAAATGTTCAATTTCTAGCAGTAACAACATTTGCCACTTGGTGGTGCCAGAATAAACATTCGAGTGAAAGATGATTTTTAAACCAACAAAAGGTTAGGAGCTTCCAAATTGTTTATAAAATTCTGCTATTGCCAAACACATTTTGTGTATGTTTTGTAGCACATGCAGTGTCTAATGTTACTTCATGTCTGGGCCTTTCAAGCATAAATCAGATTCATAGAATTGTGGACATGAAGGGGCCTGGAGAAATCTTCTAATACAGCCTCTCCCCGAGTTACGAACCAAACATTTGGCCGTAACTCGATCTGTTCGTAAATTGGACCCCATTGAGTTACATAGCGACTGTGCTGTTCATAAGCGCGGGTTGCATTCGTAACTCGGGGACCGCTTTTACGACTGCTCCATGGGAGCTTTGGTCATAAATGCGAACAGTTGTAACTTGACCGTTCGCAACTCAGGGACTGGCTGTACAGGGATTTTCAAACTCTGAGTCATGGCTTGTAAAGGCAAGCCATTAGCTGGCTGCAAGACACTTTGTTTACCTGTGGCTCTGCAGGTATGGTCGATCACACCTCCCATTGGCTATGGATTGCTGTTCCTAGCCAATGGGAGCTGTGGGAAGCGACAGAGACTAGGACATCACGTCCCGCAGCTCCCATTGGCTGGTAACAGAGATCCACAGCTAACGGGAGGTGAGATTGCCTGTACCTGTGGAAGTGCAGGTGTCAAACAAAGTGTCTTGCAGACAGCTAATGGTTTGCCCTTACAAGCTGCAACCCAGAGTTTGAAAACCCTTTTTCTAATCCAATGCCCTGCACTCAAGGCAGGACTAAGTATTATCCAGACCATCCCTGACAGGTGTTTTGTCTAATCTGCTCATAAAAATCTTCAGTGACAACAATTCCACAATCTCCCTAGTCAATTTATACCAATGCTTAACTACCCTCATGGGAAATTTTTCCTAAACCGCCCTTGCTGCAGTTTAAGCCCATTGCTCTTTCCTCTCCTCTGAAGTTTAAAGATAACAATTTTTCTCCCCACTCCCGCAGTTGCGTTATCTGTAGTTGAAAACTATTACAGTGTGCGTTCTCTGGATATTCTCCAATTTGTCCCAATTTAAATGGCAGCAAAAGGTATTTAGTGGTGGGAGTTGTTTTATTTTTATACATATATAAAAAAACCTAAACCAATTTTAAGTCCATTTTAAAACATGACATAGGAAATAGTAAAAACCTGAAATATTTACTGATATAAATGTGTTTTTTTTTTTTAAATACTCAGTTTAAGATGTGGTTTATGACTAAATAGAACAAAATGTACTTTTAACATATTACCTCCATAATTTAAGATCCACCTACACTAGGAAAATGCTCTGCCATTTATAATGGGCCCGCCCCATTCTGTCCCTCAGGAAAAAATGTTTTGGCTGCTGGTATAGATAAGGCTTAACTCTTTGCAGCTATTACAGAAAATGTGCTAGATACCTGAATATGTTTGCTTACATGACTTCAATCAGATTAACAAGGTAGAGGTGGGATTTTTAAGACATTGCTGCTGGATTACCCGGATACTTGGGCAAGCGGTGAAAAATCTGATTCTGCTGTATTCAAGAGAAATGTCTTTGGCCTTTTGACTTAACTTCATTATCGTAGATCTTGCATACTAGACATTCCGGCATCAGACATTTTACTGCTCTTTGTACAGAGGAGAGAGCTGTGTTTTCCCTACCTGACTACTTTGCTGTATTTCTTTGTTTTTCAGGTGCTGATGCTGCAGAAGATGAGGAGGTGGATGTAACCAGTGTAGATCCCATTGCTGCTTTCTGTAGCAGGTAACTTTAAAAAAAAAAAAATCTGGAAATCCCAAATATGTGCTGAAGATTCTCTGTGTAATATGTAAATTGCACTTATTCTATATGTAGCAAGTGGCTATGTTGTTATTTTCATGTGTTGGGGTTTTGCATGCTTTCCTAACAGGGCTGAGAGGAGTTATGTGTCTAGAGAATAACTTACTGAGACCAAACGCAGAGTGTACAAGACTACTGTATTCTGCAGTCTTACGTGCTACCCTAACAAGGTGTAAAACCTTAACATTTCACACCATCTTTAGTTGTCCTTGAGAAACAATAAGGGTATAGTCCTATCATATTGCTCTCCCCTGTTGTTTTCCCCCAAAGACCTGACAAACTTGTAAAGATATATCTGTTTTTACCTTCTTAATTTGCCTAAGCTTCGAATCTCACATCGTAGCCAACGTAATGGTGGTCCAGGGAGTACTATGAAAATCCATTACCACAATTTTGTGTGTCATGAGGCACTCTGTGCTTCTTGGAGTTAGATTCCTTGCCTCCACAGTGCTTCACCTTCCCTTCTCAGTCGTCTTTGTTGTTCGCAGTGCATATTTTTATTGCCTGATAATTCTGTAGAGTTGGGGTGTGACTTCTTCCTGCAGCAACAATCTTACATTTGGGACTTAGAGAAAAATGTATTAAATGTACATGGCTTAACATTAAAATATTTTCTCCTTCACAGCGATGAAGAACTGGAAGACTCCAAGGCATTGTTGTATTTACCTATTGCTCCTGAAGTGGAAGACCCAGAAGAAAACCCTTATGGACCTCCACCTGATGCTGTGCAGACCTCCTTAACTGATGAGGGAATAGGCTCTGAGAAAAAGAGGCAGTCATCATCCGATGGACCTCAGCCGCCAAAGAAGAAACCCAAAATGACCAACATTGAACTGCAAGGAGTGCCTAATGACGGTGAGTGAAAGCTGCCATCTTTTTAGTGTCCATTCTGCTCTGATGGTGGATGTTTCATCTTTGCTGCATTTCCAGCTGCCACCAGTTTCAAGACCAGGCATTACAAAATCACTTTCTAATCCTGCTAATAGACAAAACCTTGATGTTGCTTTTGATAGTTGTTGTCTTTGGCCATCGCCCTATACGAAGTTCTGTTAAAATAACAGAGTCCTGTGGCACCTTAAAGAACTAACAGATTTATTTGGGCATAAGCTCTTTTGGGCAAAATCCCATTTCGTCAGATGCAACTGAAGTAGGTTTTCGTGGATAGAGACTAATGTGGCTATCCCTCTGATAAAAGCTCTGTGGTAACTTGCATTCCTTTAGAAATGAGTGAAGTCACTCTGAAACTGATTTTTACTGCTCTTTGTACATCATTCATGAATCTGCTCATTTAGCCACAGAAGGTTAAACTGGAAAAGTTTTGCCATTGAATAAGTCACCTTTATCTCTGCTAGCCCTCACTTTAGAATAGCATTAGAGCCTCGGTCTACAGCAACAGAAATGCAGTATATTGAGTTCATAAGTATATTAGAAATAGTATATTCAATTGGTATATTGAGTATATTAGAAATAGTATATTAAATGGGTATATTGAGATCATAAGTATGATTAGAAATAGCAAAATACATTTTGTTCTGTGTTTATGCCATTCTGCTAAAATTGAATGTGTCTCCCTGATAAAAAGCTGACTTGTATCCTGTGGGAAGGTGTTCTCTTCAGCTGCATTGATTTAGCAGTCTGAGACTGATTCCTAGAAGTAATTATTGCCATAACTGTAGTCCCTATTTGCCCTCACCCTGCTGATTTCATGCACTCACAGTGTTTTGGATGTTTGATCAGTGCTAGTCATTTCTAAAAATAAAACAATCTCTTGTACAGGTTTTCAAAACGTTTTTTCCTTCTGTGATGGAAAAAACCCATTTTGTGATGACGGAAATATAAGGGGAGTGGTGGATCAGGTGACTTCACTTTGCCACTCCAATGGCTATAATGCATGTGTGACTATTTCAAGTGCACCTGTCTCTCTGCAGAAGTTCATCCGCTGCTGGGTGTGAAGGGAGATGGTAAATCCAAGAAGAAGCAAGCAGGCAGGCCTAAAGGATCAAAAGGTAAAGAGAAAGATTCTCCATTTAAACCGAAACTCTACAAAGGGGACAGAGGTGGTTTACCTCTGGAAGGAGCAGCGAAGGGTAAAGTGCAGGCGGAGCTGGGACAGCCTTTGACAGGTAAGGACCCAGCGTGAGCGTCGTTGGCTTGCTTGGTGGCCTTGCTTTGTACAGACCCTGACTTGATACAGTCTTACCACTTTATCTTCCCAAATGGCATTTGCTCACTAATTGTTTAGCTGCTGTCAAGGATAGGCAAAATTTTCCTTTATATTGATCACAGAACAAAAACAGTGTACCAAATGAAAACACACACCTGGTTACGTATATTGCAACTAAAAACACACAGGATTGTCTAATATAATATTACCTCAGTCTTTTGTCAATAGTGAAAATATTAGTGATGGTTTAATTCTTTGCCATGGTACGTGATGGCTCTTAAATTCACAATAGGCTTTGGTTTGCCAACCAGGGAAATTGTGTTTTGACATTGGTGTCAGGGCAGAATGTAAATGGTGTGGAGGATTTTGAGGTGTAAGGTATTGCTCCATGCCGTCATCAGTAGTGGTTGATATGTCAAAGAACCTTACATTTGCATAAGCCTAATTGCTTCACAAGAGCATTGCTGCTAGCAGTGGCTACTTTGACCTGGTTGCAGGTACTTAGCAGTGCAAAGATTATTGCTGCGTTTGAGAAGTTTCTTGCTGACTTGATATTTCTCTTCCTTATTTTGGTATATTGTACATTTTATGGATTATTTCTGGTACTTAAAAAGTTACGATTACACTGGGTCAGTCCAAAGGTCCATGTGTCTAGTATCCTGTCTTCCAACAGTGGCCATTCCCATTCTGGCTAATAGGTCTATCAATGGCTATCTTCTGTTAATTTATCTAGTTCTTTTAAGAACTTTGGTCTTTGCAACATCCTCTGGCAAGGAGTTCTGCAGATTAACTGCTTTGTGTGAAATACCTCCTTTTGTTTGTTTTTAAGCCTACTACCTATTAAATTTCATTTGGTAACCCCTAGTTCTTATGGGAAGGAGTAAACAATTCTCCTTTATTTGCCCACACCAGTCATTTTTTTTATAGTTCTTAATTAAATAGCTTTCATATAACACTCTTCACCATACAAGCCTTGACAATTAATATACACACATCCACACCCTCCCTATGCAAGAAACTAACCATTGATCATGAAGGAATTCATAAATATTCAGTGGATTTTCACAAAGTAGTACAGTAGTTTGTTTTATTGTTGAGGATAAAAGTATTTTTCTGTAACTTTGCTTATGAACTCTTTTATTTTCTCCACCTCTGGGCTTCTCCTGAATGAGCAGCTACCAAAGCTCATGTTTTCCTAACTGTAACAGAGTACTGTGTCTGAGTTCATGCCAAAATATATACCTGTAACTTTCCATTAGGCAAAAGCTTCATTTCCTCTAAAGAAACGTAGTGATACTCCTTTTAGCAATACTCTGATCTGGCAGGGGAAGATGAGATCTTCCTAATCCTCTATTTCTTAAAGGATACTTTAAAAAGGACACTGTCAAGAGGAAATTAATTCTCCCCTTACACCTGTGTTGGAATTCCATTGAATTCAGTGGGAATTTTATTGCTGTAAATAAGAACAGGATTTGCGGACTTTGCATTTTTCTGTTCACTTGCTGATTCTTGTGCGTTAACTTTAGGAAACCCATCCACTAATTATGGGAGTTTAGCTACTTAACAATGTCCTTTTTAGCTAAAATGGACAGAAAGCAAAGGGTCAGCATTTCACACATGCTGCAGTAACAGATTGGGATCATGTTCCTCTACCTGCATATTTGGAAACGCTCAGTCAGGTACAGAAAAGCAAAATATGAATTGGCGTTCGCTGTGTTAAGTGCCATTTTCTAGGTGTGTGAAAGTAAGTGATGCATGGAGATCCAAAGACATGATGTGATTCATACACAAAATTTTGCATGTCCTTGAGTACAGCAGCTCCTGCTATGGATTTTAGGCTGTCCAGATTTGATTTTTTTCCTTGCTCCCCACACTGCTGGGCCTATGTTACCCACCTTGCTCATTGTCCTTCCTGCTCTGCTCCTGTTATGTTGCTTGTATTGGTATCAATTAGTGCTTGTTCTTTGCATACAAGGGGATATGATATCAGAAATTTGTCTACCTTCCAGGGCAAAAATTGTCTATTGGATGTGCAGCTTGACTGGTTTTTATTGTTGCCATTTAATCTTTTGATGTTCTGTACCCTCCAAAATGCTTGAAATGGAACCGAAGCTGTTAGCCAAAACCAAATCTGATGCCATGCAAAAATTATTCTTAATAGTGAATGTAATTCGAATGGCTTTAAATGTCGTCCTTGTTTTGGCACTTAGGTGTATCTAAAATTATCCTAGATTGCCCAAGTAACTAGACACCATACACTTTAGTTTAGAGCAAAACTATAGTGCTAAACAGTATCTGATTTCTGAGGATTCTGAACTACTCTGGCAGGCTTTCTTTGCATATCCTGCTCCTGCCTGCACCATCATGTCGTGCTAGAGGGATGGAACCAGTTTTTAAAACCAAACAGGTACATGAATGAGTGTGTGCAGAATACAGGACTATACATGGCTAATTAAGCACTGTATTCAAACAGCTATAAATGGAGAGAAAGCATCATACAGTGTTCAACATTGAAAAGGAAAGAAAAGGGGAAAAAACACTCCAGTTCAGTGCTTTTAAACAATATACAAGATGTGTAACCTTTGCATTTATGTGACTATATATTCTACCTGTTCTTAGGCAAATGGCATTACCATCATTAGCGAGACTTTTCTTGTGTTTTTCGGATACTGTATGTGTACAGTCCTAGAGGGGTAGCTTTATAAATGTTTGTTTGACTTGCCTGAGACATTTTTTTTGTAGGTGGATTACAGCCTGCATTTTCTTTGCAGCTTGCCATCAGTACTGCTGTACTTCCATCTCCTCTATAATGCCCTTTCAAAGAAATTTCCTAGTATATGATCTGAATGCAGCAAAAGTTAAAATGAGTTCCCTTTCCCTTGATTTTGGACATCATTGTAAACTCAAGGATATAAAAGCTAAATGGAATCATTACAGTATTGTCTGATACCTGTAGATCCCTTGCTATAGAATTTCACCCATCGTTGTTGCTGATGTTGGGAATGTGTGCGCCTGTATTGCGCACTCATAATATTATGTATTTTTATTGTTGCCATTTTATTGTTTCACCTACTGAAACGAGGGTTAGGAGGCCACACACTTTTTCTGAGATCCTGGAAACCAGGGCTTCTTTTTCCTAAGGAATGGTGGATTTATAAAACAAATTATTAGCCAATCCCCCACTGGCGTTAACAATCTTAGTGGGTGCTAATGGGCAATGGAGTCTTTTCTTTTTATTGTGCTATCAATAAAGTTTGTATTTTTTCATTGGTGCTAATTCAGATGTGCTTGAGCTTGCTTGGGCATTAAGCAGCTAATTAGTATTATTTTTATACCATACTTATCTTCTGTTGAGAACCAATTAGAGCAGTGTTTCTCAACAACCAGTCCATGGACCGGTGCATGTCCCTGAGATCTCATTGACTCAGCTAGTGCCTGATATCAAAAAGATTGAGAAACCTGGCATTAGTGCACATCATATTGGACTTAATGGGACTCCTCATAGATCACGTTAGTGGATCTCAGTGCAGGATTGAGGTCAATATGAGGAGAATACACTGGTTGAAATAAGTTGATGGAGTAGCCAGAAATGCCCGGCCTGGAGGAGCATGCACTCTTTCAACTCCTCAAGCCCAGTTAGCTCATAGATAGAAATGTTCAGGCCTGCTGTCTCTCTTTTCCCTTGTCCGCCCTGTATTCATGCTTGCCCTGCCAGGCAATCAATTTTTTTTTCTTGAAGGCATCAGGATTCGCTGCTTGTGGATAGTCCCCTTCAAACACAAATGGCTTTCTCCTTGCTTTAGGAGTCTTGTCCGCTTATAGTGTGACCCACCACACAGACATTTTGCTAGCAAAGCCTAATTTATACCATGCCTCCTGCTTAAAGCCACTCATTCCTTGCAGTGCTGCTCTGTGAATTAGTGGGTCCATTGCTAGAACAGCAGTGCAATAGGCACACTTCCTCTGGAAGCTGTTTGCTGCACCGCCATGATGAATTCAATCTCCGCAAGCCAGATATCTGGGATGCTGAGCCCAGATCAGTCTCTGCCATTATGTTGCCCAGTCTGACATTCAATGTATTTCTCTTCAATTGATCCTGTAAAAATGAGTTACAGTATAAACAAGCTAATTGCCTGAGCCGTGTTATAATTTAAGACTGAAACTGTGCAAAAAACTTGAAATCCAAAACCAAATGGAACTTAGGTTGAGGTCAGTTATGTTGTGATCTGAGTGTCGGGATGAATTTAAGTCTGAAACTCAAACCAGGTAAGTTTGCTCAAGCTACTGCAGAATGAGAACAGAGTCCACATGTGGTATTTCTCTGTGCTTAGGGTTCTGTGCGCAGGCATCTTAAGTGGCGGTATAATTGCCAAACTGCACTCTGTCATGCTTCTAAAAAGTAGCATGCTATAGTTGCAGTATCTGTTTTATTTTGTTTTTCTGGCAATGTTAGCGTATTGGGTGGCCTCCAGTTTCTAGAGCTGGTTTGGGGTTCCCTGGCGATTAAATATTTTTCACCTTTCTTTGATCTCTTCAGCAGGTGGTGCAATCTCAGAACTGTTATGAGGACATGTCTGCTTTCTCTTCCTCTGTTCTTTCCTATGTTGGCACCATCCTGTGGAATATGGACAAAGTACTTGGCTAGATAATGAACTGACTTGAACTTAATACAGCAGCAACCTGATTGCTCATGGATGCAGGGAGTGACTTTTAGAAGAAGTGAATTATGGAAGAGAAAATGGCCTTCGTTCCTTCCCCTCAAACCCCTTTTCCCCAAACAGTGTAAGATATTGACTCTCAGGATGGGAGATTTGCAAAGAAACTGAATGGAGTGTCTCCTTATAGCATTTGCTGAAGCAAAGTACCAGCTTTCCTTTAGCTAAGAAATCATTTTCTGTTTAGTTCTGAAGCATGCCAAGATTTTTAATCCCAGGACCATGTTATCCTCTGTGTATTCCTGAAAACTTCCATTTCATCCACTCATTTCAGTGAATTGTTGTGCGTTTTATTCTTTCTTTTGTGCCATCTCTACAGTACTTTACAGTAAGTTAAAAAAAGTCTGTTAATATCTTTATACATACAGCCCTTTTGTACCACCACTGCTCGCTCATGTGCAAGGTCTGATGTCATGCCAGCAGGAGAGGATTTCAAATTAGGAGCGGGGATAGATAGTCTCTAAAGTCTGCAAAGAATGGGCACTTTATGTAGTGGTTTATGGAGATGAAAGATGCCAGCTTCACAACATTTTTGTTGGTAGAGTTGGGGAGGGAGAAGACGGAAGCATGTCTAGATAAGAGCCAAGAATGTGACTTTGTTGCCTTTAGGCTAAGGTCTAAAAGATTGCATTTTGCTACTTGGTTGTTTTTGCTTTCAGTATTAGTTCTTTTTATATCGTCATATCAAGTGACACTGTTGGATCCTTCTTTTGCTGACCTGTCGTTGCAGTTCAAGAAGAATGAACCCCAATATTTATCTCAAAAGAAACTGTAGCATAAATACTCAAGCTTTTTTTTTTCAGTTAAATATCAAAGACCTTGAACAAGAGCCAAGAAGAGCCAATCATGAAACTGTGACGCAGGTTTAAGAGAAAAGGAGCCTTATATATTGTTTTAAGTGGTCAGATTTTTTCCCCTGGTGGAATAAAGGGAGGAGAAAGAGGTTTTATGTTTTTAAAAATCTCAAACTTTCTCTTCTTCCCATGTATGCTTTAAATTACCTTGTTCCCCAGTGACTTGTATCATACTGCCACTGTACTTCTGTGCAAGGAGAACTGGTTGGGAGCATCTCTAAAGTCAGTCAGATTGGTCCATTCTGATGATTAAATGACATTGATTAATATATACACAAAATTGAGATCAGCCTCAAGCCACACTTTGGAGTGTGCAACATGGTTGATCGGGGGGAACTTTTTGCAAATTAGTTCACAGGAAATTAGGCAGGATGTCTTGCAAATTATACTGCTGGTTCTTCAGGGTGCTGACTCTACCCTCAACCATTGAACTCAGTAGAGTTGACGCTCCTAGTGTCTTTCAGGAGTTGCTCCGGAGTGTGTAAGAAGGGACCCCACATAATAAAATCACTATCTTAGCTTGAGTAGCAAAAATGTAGTGTTGGACTGCTTCCTCATGGAGTCTGGAAGATCAGTTGTTACTTTACTTTGTACAGTGTTGGTGTAATATTTTTTGTAAGTGCTTACTTGCTTAATGCTTTTAAAACCTGTGGTGGTATTATGCAATGTCCTCTTTTATGATATCACCTAGAATGAAATGCTCCCATCTCAGTTTCAATCTGTAAGTTGTGTGGCTGCTCCTTCTTTCCACTTCAGTTCTAGATGACAAACCACAGGTGACAGACACACACAGAAGGCATGGAAAAACTGAAGTTCAACAGTACCATCTCCCCCAATAATTTCTTTGTGTGTAGCCCACATAATCCTGACAATACATCTGAATTTAAGGTGATCCTTAT